TCTGTGCTAACGATGCCGATAAAAATGCTGGCCGAATGTCAGGGAATATATCAAATCAACTGTTAGATGCTGGTAGTTATGGTAACTGTGGCAGTTAATGATGACTGCGCTCTCACTCAATGTCGTCCTTTCTACTAGAATAAGGAATTTCGAAGTTTCAATACTAAAGGGAGAGATAAGAGGCCATGGGATGGGGGGATGTACAAGGATAGGAGAGATAGCAAAATATTCTGTTAAAAGTCGGTCAAGGCATGGATTTCACTTGTTCCTTCGACGAGTTGTATACTGAAGCCATGACTGGCGAGGCTCTCTGATGATGCCGGAGAGACGTTTCGGAATGTACCAAGTCACCGGTTTGTTGCTGGAAATCAAGATGAATGTTATGGCAGAGGATGCAGGACTAGATTGTTGCATAATACCTCCTCGTCGCTCCGACCTTGTTGCGAAGACGAAGCTGTATTATTCTTACCAAAGATAAAAAAATTTCCGGCCTAACCAACGGCCAAACCATCTTGGTTTTTATATCTACAATTTAATTACAGATATTCAAGTACTTATTAAAAATGCAAATCTGCAATCTGAAGTACGCTCTAAGGAGTGAGAGAATTAGAGAGAAAGAGCAAAAATACTTGAGTCTTTGGATTGGAGGAGAGAGGTGGAGACAACTTTCTATAACTGGCTGTAGCAATGGGCAGTCAGCCAAGTGACGGAAGTAACTAAACCTAATTTCCTGGAGATATAAAGACCAAGATGTTGTGGCCTCTGGTATGGTCGCAGTCTCCTTTCGATTTATGGAACTGGGTTGACCTCGTTGTCGCGACTTGGTCTTATTGTCAGGGCGACTTAGTAGAACTCACCTATTCCGAAGTCGTTTGCCATAATAGTTGTCATAATTCCCAGCATCAGACGGTGAATTTGATATATTCTCAAACGTTTTGCCGGCATAGTCGTAGACGAGTTCATAGCTTGGTGCGGAGAATGGCAGCACTCGCTGATGATCTCGACTACGATGCCGGCGAAACGTTTGAGAATGTACCAAGTCCACTGGGAATCTTGACAACTACTATGGCAGACGATTTCAGACAAGGTGTGTTCTAACAAGTCGCCCTGACAACAAAACCAAGTTGCGACAACAAGGTCAACCTCCTTCTAATTTCCTAAGTTCCGAAACAGCTCTCGGAGAAACGCATCGGACTCCGATTAGGGTGTCCATCTAGATTATACTAATAACACGATTAAACGCGAAAACGAGGTCAAACCATAGAAAGACGCGAAGAAAAACGGTATTCAGAAGACTTTCTTGGTGTGATATTGTTACATAACACTCCATTTAAAAAGGAAAATTTAGTTGAAAGGACTTTGTGATGTGGTCTCACTGGAAACCGAAGGAGGATTGCCGCGTTGGGAAGACTATTGAATTGTGCAAATAAGTCCTCAGCTTGTGTGGTGCTAAGAATGGCGATACTCACTGACTATGCCGACTACGATGCCGGCGCAACGTTTGGGAATGTACCACGTCCACGGTTTAACTTCGGAAATGATGATGCAGACAATGGACCCCGGACTAGATGCGTTCCTTTAAGTCTTCCTACCAATTCGACCATGTTGCGAAAACAATTTCAAACAACCTCTATACAACGAAAGGAGACTGCGAACACACAAAAGGCCACACCATCTTGGTTTTCATACCTTCGAAAAGTAATAAGCTTGAAGTAAGATGTCGGCATCCGGGTTATCTGGTGTGGATACGAAGAGTAGCTGTGTTTTGATAGATCTCTTAAAATCACATTGTTGTGGAGACATTTATATCTGTTGTTGATCTCACCGGAAGACGACGGCCACATTTTGGCTTTAACACTTCGTTCATGTTGACACAGTTAAAGAGCCTTCCCCCTTTGTTCAATAGTAATGCCTTTGGAGAAAATATTTCCCCTAACTTCGCACCACTATTTCATATAATGGTTGACTATAAATCACACAGCCTTTATTTGATTTATATACGAAATATATGCACCCTATTTTGTTTAAGGGCATAAGGGAACATGTAGATCAATTTTCCTACCATTCTATGTGTAGACCTTTGGTTTGCATTCAATTTCACACAGCTTTGTCTTCCCAAAACATATTCTCATCCACGTAGGAGTGGATTGCAATTTAGACCTAGCCTGGGCTTCATTAGCACCCCACGTGGGACTCAAACATGGATTGGGGTAGCGCAGCCTATTATCTCGCCAGTTTAAACTATACACCAAACTGCCATGAGTGCGCTTGGATTACAGGGCAAATGTGCATTTCACGGAAGGTCAGGCCTTTTCTCATAATACATTCTGTTGATTTGATTTGGTTCTGATATCAGGTCTCTTGACCGATTGTATAAGGCTTTTTATCTTTGCTATTGGGTTCAGGTTGGAGAGAAGTTATAATCCATAGACGCGAGGAGAACTTAGATGACAACTAATGGTTTTAGAGGTTACGATTAGTCTAAAACACGACTTCCGCAGAATAACAAAGTTTTGACAGACTCGGCATTTCAGTGGAATCCAAGACATTAATATGACAAACATCAATCGGTGGCCAGAGTGTAGCAAATTGAATATAGACCTTCTATGGATAGAAGATAGTATTTAAGAGGAAGGAGAAGAGCTGCCAAGTAATGCAAAAAGACGTAATTACTAACCCAAACTGGCAACTAAGCAATAAATTATCTCAAAAAGGGGTTGTCGTCATAAAACATAAGAAAATGGAGGGAAGGGAAGCCGAATTGGAGACAGGTGATATAATTAAAAACCTATTAGTTGATGTTCTCCAATCACTACAATTTATTCTAATACAGGCAGGTGCAACAAAACTACCCACTCAAGGAAATTGGGACCACTTCAAGGGCAAGTTTATGGACGTAAGAAAAAGTTTGCATTGCATTCTGCTTCTATATATTTTCGTAATGTTATTTGTTATAGCCTCCTGCTCTAGCGTCAGATAACAGACGTAGATCACTATACCCACTTGTAACTTCCTTCCTTTTGACGACATCACCTCTTTTTAAGGGGGTCGGATAGGAGCAAAAGCAAGAGAAAGTGGTTCAGACTCGAACTGGATACCTCTTTCTATTTACCGCTACATCCATACATAGCTGCCTAGAACAAGACTAGGAAACCTACTTTCTGCCAAATTATTTACATTTTTAGAAAAAATGTGCAGCTAAGAATGTTATCGCATTATCTCATGTGATCAATGGTAAATTATCAAGCGGTAAAATAAAAAATGTTTCTGTTTATTATAAAAATAAAAAGTGCGTATCAGATCATGTCCAGAAGTATGGCTTTGATGGATTAAACATTTTTCACCGATTTACTGCCAAAACTCTGGTTTCGATGCGGGACTTAGACATAAGAATCTATTACTTGTAGCACTAGGAAGCACTGAAAGGTAAACCTTAGTTTGTGTAGATGTAATTGATGAAATTTGTGGGGTTTTACATCAAATAAGGGCGAGATGAATTGCATTCACAGGAAGGGAAATAAATTTCAATAAATATAGGCCTAACTTCTGCCCTGACGACGAGAGTATAAATATGACATTTAGTTAAAATTTCCCACAATACAGGGAGTAGGCCTTATAGTTCCATCAAATTTAATATGGCGTCGCTTCCAAAAAGGTATTATCATCTGCATTACACGCTAGCCAGGATGAGGATACTTTATCGGAAGCAAGGCTTTGTGAAATTTAATGGACACGTGAGGCTTACTCATGATTGTAGGTGAATTTAACTATTAGTCCCTTATCAACTTAAATGAAATGGGGTAAAGCATATTATATATATGATCTATAGATAGACTCGAAGCCTACTTATAAAGTGAAAATCAGTTTCTAAATGTCGAAATAAGTTTTGTCTTAATTTGGATAAGCAATGTCTAAGTGATAAAGCTCAAAACTGTGCAAAGGGCTTTCTTTTTCAAGGGGCAGTTTCTCCGAAATCCAAAGAAATATTTCCTCTTATTGCGATTCACGCCTTTTCTTGGACGCATTTTAGTATCCTATCCCTCTTCTCTCTACCTACAACTTGTGCTTTCCCATCTTATTTCCAGGTCACACTATGTCTTATCAAGAGCTTATTGCTGCAAACCCATGTCAGACACGTGTCGTTTGAGGCTAAAATTCCCATTCTTCGCACAGTCTTTTCTTCTTTCTCCTTACCTTTCACTATCTTTTGTCCCCATACTCAACTACTCTCTTCCAGTTCCCTCCAGCAAATTGTCTGAGCTTAAATTTGCATCTCGATTGCGAAGCGGCAAAAATCGTTTAGGATTCCATTAATAAATAATATTTTGATGCATATTCTAATTTGTATAGGTACGCTAATTTACATGCATTGTTGATATGAGTAAAGTGATGAAAATTATGTCTAAAACATAGAAAATAGGCAAAATATTTGCTGGAATAGAAACGGATTTGCACAGACTGGCATAAAAATGGCTGAATTAAGGAAAAATGAGAAGAACTGCAAGGTGCACAGATGGAAAGAGTGTAAAAGACCGACTGATTATGACTGTTTAAAGATGTGGAGTGATAGGTTGATAGACTGAAAAGTGGACAAGTGGACGAGTGGACGGATGTGAACTGTGGACGGATAGTTAATTCAGTTGAGTGTGCCAGAAGACTTGTGTTAACTGGTTTGCGGGCATTGGCAGACCGGATACACCCAAGATCGTATCCGGGCGTCCTGGAACGTCGCCGGTTTTAAGGGAGGCGAGTAGGCCAGGGGAAGTAGTCCAGCTCCCACTGGCCGGATTGGTAACTCGAAATGCGCACATCGCCCTACCCTCCTGGCGGGGAGAATCCCCTCACGGGATACAGTGTGAAGAAGGGAGGCAGGTGGGAAAAGGTAGCCCGGGCTGGGATCAAATGGCTGACCGTAATAAGGACATTGCTGTGTCCGCTGGCCAGCGACACGCGACCGACGTGTCTCTATTGGCACAGCCAGTGGAGCTGGCCTGCCTTGCACGCAACCTATAAAATAAACTATGCCATTACAAATTATTCCTTTGAACGCACATCCACCTGCAGGTTAATATTGGCCCAAGGTTCCGTCGACCTGGTGGCAAGCTGAGGTCAGTCAAGTTTCAATGAATCGTCTCAGAATCTTCTCGAATACTCAACTGTGTCGTCACTATAAAATTTATGATTTTTTCGTTTCGTTGGATTATGCTTTCCGCGTGAAAAGTCGGAAGAAAGGGAATATTCGTATCGCTGCCACAGCAAGACACGGTTTCGTGTATACTTACTTAAAATGTGGTATTTGATGGTTAGGTTGGCATTTCCATTATTATAAGATTATTGTGCTAATGTAACCTCCGCTTTATGTGGAAATTTTAACGTACCGGAAACGGAAGTCTGCATACCATGGAGTGATAAATATAGATTTCCACCAAGCATCCCTCAGCGCATCTTCCTCATTAGGAGGATCGGCAGTGGTCTTCGTTGTCATCGCCTATCACATAACCTTACTACATTAAGACATTAGTAACCAAATATATCACAAAAAAATGGGTTTTGACATCTTTTAGACCCAGTTCACCTTCATATTTGTACTACTATTTCTTGAAAAGTATCTATGAGTTGTGTCGAACTTATCATATCTTAGTCCTATAAATTCTTTAGACTATGACAGATAGATTCGAAGATCGATTCCACCAGAAGACGATAGCGGATTCCTCTTGACCAGCTGTCGATTGGCTTTACTGGAAGATTCATGTTGTCACCGTTTCCGAGGTAATCTCCTTCGATTCCGGTGAAAACGTGCTAAGCTTTCGTGCGTCATATGACGGACATCATCAGAGCAAG